AAGGGAGGTGCTAATCTGCTCTGGGGGTTCTTTTTATAATATTGATCCTGGCTTTTAAAGTGTTTTTCCAGAGCATACGTGAGCATACCTGTGATGGAGACCACATGAGAGCATAGGAAAAAAAAATGTGGCTTTGATATTTAGAATTTGCCACTGGCAAGTTTTGATAATGCAGGATCCAAGATAAATACCAGATATTTTTCATTTGGAAATGTTTTTAAAATCTCCTAAAATGCAGGATGTTGCATCTGACATTCTAAGATTTGCTTAAGCAGAGGTACCCATGGGATCCATCACCATAGTTTTTGTTTCTTTACCATTTTGGTTTGACTAATGGCTGCCTTGATAAAGCTGTGGCAAAAGTCTCCATCTAGGCATCTATATGAATTTTGGTTTACAGAAGAATATGCATTCTAGTGAGAACAGAGGTGGCAACCCTAACTCAGGATTACAAACACTGTTAAATAACTTGGATTAAAATCAAGATTTGTGAAAGCTGAGCACTCAAAGCCCTCTGCCTGCATAGATCTGTCAGTTTCACTTTCCCTCACAACAAAAAGGTTTAAATCTGAAATTCCTTCCATTTTGTTAATGAAGTATTTTGGTACATTTTAGGAAAAAAGATGAACAAAATTATTACCCATCCCTAACTACTAGTTGTCAACTTTCAATATTAAGTTTTAAACACGAACATATTAGGAAAAAGCCAGCCTTGTGAAACAAATGGAGCCATCCAGTGACATACAAATGTTATCCCCCACCATCTGATTTGCACTTGTGCATGATTAAATGACCATTACAAGGAGTCTGTGTTTTTCCCAAGTGCTCGCCCATTGAGACAGTGAAGCAAAAGTTAAGGTAGCTACTTGTGGCTGCAGTGGTAAGATAGTTATTATCTTTTATATTCCCCACTGGGAACAGGTATTGAGCAACCTGTGGAAAATAACCAAATAAGGGGATACCTGCTTAGCAACCATGAATACAGTATGAAAATAATGTGAGTGTCTTGTGAAAAAGGATTTGTATACCCTAACTTCACTATGTTGTTTAGAGTACAACCCTATGCATGTTGAGACAGAAAACAGTCCTACACTCCCCAGAATTTTCCAGCCATTTATCTTGACTGGAGCATCTGCGAGGTGTTGGATTTTTTGTCTAAACATAAATGGGATGTGCCTTAATCATTTGCATACCATAAGCAGCATAACTGCCATGTTCAATTAAAAAACATGAGGCATCATGTTGGATTAAACCAAGGGTCCATCTAGTCCTTTACTGTGTTTGCACATTAGCTATCCAGTGTCTGTGGGAAACCCAGAAAGACATGTGCGCAATAGTGATCTCCCAGTGTTTTTCCCCAGGAACACATGCAAACTGCATACTGCCTCTGATCCCAGAGTTATATAGCCAACAGGATTAGTAGCCTTTGACTACTTTATTCTCTATGAATTTGTCTAATTCTCTTTTAAAGCCATCAGGTTGGGGGTCATCATATCTTGTCATAGCAAATTCCATACTTGAATGATATTTTGAGTGAAGAAATGCTTCCTTTCTCTGATGTGAATCAGTTCCATAGGATTATGGATTATCACATTTCTTTTTGATTATCCAAGATTCTGTTATGAGAGAGAGAAAATATTTCATGGTCCACTTTCTTCACACTATGCATAATTTTGTACACCTTTAGCATGACTCCCCTCACTGGCTTCTTTCTGAGCTAAACATCTTGAAGTTGTAACCTTTTCTCATAGGGAAGTTTTCTAGACCCTCCATTTTAGTTGCAATTTTCTGCACTTTTCCAACTCTACCATTTTTTTAGATGTAGTAGTCAGAACTATGCATAATATTCCAAATAGTTGCATAATTCCAGAATAGATGCATTTTGGATCTTGTGACTTACTAGCTTTTAATTTGTCAATAGGGTCAAGATATTCCTATTTTGTGACTGAGCTTTGCCTGGGTATGTCAGATTATCTTTCTGAAAACATCAGTTCAGGCACAGGCATTTGTCCTACATCTTCTGCAGTGAAGACAGATAAAAAGAATTCATTCAACTTCTCCACACTTTTTCACAAGTTAATAATACTTGGGACATGGCTAGAAAAACTCAGTAAACAGTAACATGACAAAAGAATGTTGATAGCTAGTAGCATTCAGATGATATCTTTCAATGGGAGCTAAGATGGCCCAATAATGCATTGGTGATGGCGTAGAAGGAGAAATCATCTCTGTCCAAGATCAAGAAAAGTCCTATGGCACTGGTGTCATTCCTAGAAAGCTAATGGGAGAATAAAGATGCTGCAAACTTCCACTGATGCTCAGCTTGTATATATGACCAAGAGGGAAAAAAGTCAGTTATCCAACAAAAAGTTAATTGAGGAACTATCTCATGGGTGCAGTCCAGGCATAAATTCTCTGGGACAAGCCATTGTGAAACAGCATTCCTCCTGGAGATCTGAATTATATACCCCTAAGTCACAGGATTCAGATACAGTAAAATTACAAGACTGAGTAACAGTTTCTGATCTACTTCAAGAAATGATCAAGTCTAGAGCTACAAAGGTCAGTGGTAGCTGGGGGAACACCAACTAGTGTTCATTTCCTCCCAGTGGTTTATATTGGATAAATTATAGAAATGCAGTATTGAAAGTGAACAACCTTTCAAAATCTCTTGTGGAAAACTATACATGTTACATGAAGTCTAATTCATAAAAAGCTATGTCATTTAAGATGATATATATTTCCTGTGAGAGAAGGCATGGTCCTCAACCCCATCTGGCTCTGATGGAAGGATTTGCCTCTTTAAACAAGAGTACATTGACAAATGTATACCTTTATTGTAGAAAGGACATGTCAGGAAACCTGCCAGTTCCAATTCATTTAATTTCAATCAATCCAAATTGGCTAGCCTGGTTAGCTGGAGTTCATAACCTCTGAATTTCTATAGTTCTTGTGCATCTCTTATTAAAAGATGGAATCCTGGGAACACTTCAGTATTTCGGTATGGGCCTCCCAAACTGTGTGGAGAAGGGTTGTCCTTTGAAGTTGGCAGAGAGATTCTGCGAAGGCAGGACAAGAACTTGCATACTCTAATTTAAGGATTCCAGAGTATGAAGCTCATTGAGCAAACCCCCTGTATTTGTTCACTGGCATCCTTTAGGCAATTAGGAAGTAGCAGTGATGAGAGTGTTGCATCAGGCAACAAGAGGACCACATCTGACTTCCCGCTGCAGGAAAGAACATTTAGCACAAAGCACAACTGATCTGAATTTTAAAAGTTCCAGTGTTTGGAGGACCTCACCCCAAGATATCAAGCTGGCCACTCTTTGGAACCTAGCAATATTTCAAAATTTGTTAAAATATAATTCTTAAATGTATCCAAAGTTTTAGTGGACCTACAGAAGGTGCAAATGGATCCAGGCAACTTTTTTTAGTCTAATAGAGCACAATTGACATAATTATTTTATTCTTAGAAGCTAGTTTTATTTTCCTACAGAGATCTGTACCATTGGGGCTTGGGGAAAATATTACAAAATAATTAAGAATTTATTTTTCAGTCATTTTGACTCTTGTGCTTTGTTATTAGACACAAGACAATTATGCACATTGCGTTTAGAACAGCCAGACTAGATTGCCAAATAGATATCTGCCATGTTTGAATTGCACAAAGCCCACAAGTACTACACCTCAAATACTCATCAATGCTTTTCTGAAGCTGTAAGGGAAATAAGCTGGTCTACATCAGCTGCTCCTGGCTGGATCAGCCTTCTCTGAGCACTATTTATTGCCCTGCATTTATTAATGACAAATCCTCACTAGCCTTGCAACCACATGTCTAAGCTCACAGGTCTTTCTACAGACATCTTTTGCTCATAGGAGAAAAGGGACTAGGAGAGAGGACTCTACATTACTGTTGCTGGCACTGAAATGTTGGAACACATGTTATCCTAAATTCTATTTAACAGAAGGTGATGGTGTAAACATACTTCAAAGGAAGTAAGTCTCCAAGTTCAGAGGGAGAAAAAAATGGGCCAAGCTCTGAAGCAAAAAGGTGTGTGAGTTTGAGGGAGCAGAAGTGCATAGACAAGAGCAGAACTGACAGTCAGCAGATCTGGACAATTTCTTAATTTTGCTGTGGAATAGAGAGCACTCATAGTGATATACATTGTCCCCACTCAATCCTGTCAGGTAGAGACAACATGAGTAATTTGCCCAAGGTTACTTGATGGCTTAATGAAAATATGAACTAGGGTCTCTCCACCTCTATTATGTGTTCATTTTATTATATATCTCCTTTTTCCTGCCAAGGAACTCAAGGCAGCTTATATAACCCTCGTACTCTTTTCAGAACAACAGCCCTGTGGAGTAGGTTAGGCTGTGAGTCTGACCGGATCAACATCCCCTAGTGAGTTCCATGGCTAAGCAGCGACTAGGCCCCGGAGCTCCCAGATCCCCCAATGGAACACTAATTGCTCCACCACACTGGCTCGCTCCATATTCTAACCACTAGACCGCGTTGTCATCGGTAATTCCAGGTTGACTGGCACGGAAAAGGAGCGCCTGACATAGGAGGAGGAGTACTAGGCGTCCAGAAAAATCGGGAAGAGACGCTGCTGCTGACACTCATTTAGGAGACCCCTTCTGAATCAGACCGAAGAAGATACACGTAAGTGCAGCGTCTGGATTTGCAACAGCGGTCGGTCAAAGGGTTCTGACGTCAAAAAGGCAATACTTTCACCCTGCTGTCTGCCCCTTCCCCATCCAGTGCTCAGCTACCTTCGAACCTGGAAGCTCCCTTACCTACCCAAGCCAATTAGAGCCCGTTTCCACCCCACGCCACCCCCACGCTTTTTGACACGAAGAGTGCAAAGGGTTAAGAGCGCGGCAAAGAAATGCCCCCTCTTAGATTGGACGTTAAGGGCTAGGGGGAGGGAACAATCGCCAAGTCGAGCGACTATTGGCCACTTGAGAAGTCGCTCGCGGACTCCGTAAATTGTCGGACGGACCTTCACGACAGAATTCGTCTGAGGTTTGAAAGGCCGGGCGGGATGCAGCGATGGTGAGTCTGGCTGGGAGGCTCCGCGGTGCATAGGAGTCAACGACGTGCCGTGTTAATCTGTGTTGGCACAAAGCGGCTAGAGAGAGGGGGTGGCAATGGGGACTAACTGCGCATATTTACTCGGAAGTAAATGGCAATGTGTGCGGTGTGGATTAATAACGTAATAAGTAAACATTACACTTTCCCATCTTGTTCCTAAATGTGCTTACTTGGAAGTAATAGCTTCATCCGGATCTCTTCCCTCCCGCCTGCTGCCGAGTTACTGTGATAAGAGTGCAATGCCAGCCCGTACACATTCGGGGGCACTGATAAGCAATAGGCCTACTTGTCCCGCGTCTGCAAAGCGTGGCGGCCTTGCGTTATTCCCGCACTGCGGCGTGGGACGGTTTATAGTAGGAAGTGAGGAAGCCTGGGGACGGGAGAAGAGAACCGGTGTCAAAAGGGCTCGGCTGTAAAGGCGCGACTCAAAGAGGCACTGAGAACGGCGATGGGATAGTGCAAGGCAAATGTCTGGGTGCAGCTGGGTGTTTGGAAGAAGGCTGCTAAGCTAAGGGTGCAGGAAGAAGGGCGAAAGGCGCCCAAGCCGAGTTGCCCAACTACCGGCTCTGCGACAAGCATCCTCCTCGTCTCCGCTGGAGCGTAATTTCCCGCGCGCTCGCTCGTAAGTGCTCACCGAGCAGCTTTGCAGCGCTTGCGCAGGCGCACTCGAAGAGCTGGGAGAGCGAGGCGAGGTCATCTAGCGCGCTCGCTTTGCAGCGCCAAGTGGAGCCGCCGCCCTCGGCAGGCGACATGAGGGACCGAGCTTGCTGCATTGGGGGCTCATGCCTTTCTCCCGGTCTGTGTTTGCCTGCGAGGAGAGGATTGCTTTTATTTATTTACTGAAGCTTAAAAAGGGAAGCAAACTTGTAGGCTGTTTGGAGCCGCTTGGAGTGTTCTACTTAAAGTGTTAATGGCATAAGCCCCACTTATTCCGTATTTTTAAATGTAAGAAAACTCTGGCTTTTCTTGAGAGAAAAGGGTTGGTTGGTTGGTTAACTGGTTGCGATTGGTAAGGTAAAAAACTGGATTTCTTACGGTCTGATGTTAAGGGCGAGATTTAGAAATTCACTCACGCACATTAATAGCTTGCCGGCTGGAGTCGGCAGAGGAGAAATGGAGGTTCGGGGCTGACCGCCTCAGGTTTGTTTTTAATAGATACTAAAGGCTGTACTGAGTGAGTGGCTCTAGCCACAACTTGAATTTATCGCACATAAGATCACCCCAGGGGATTGTGGGAAATTCGGAGACCCCCCCCCCCCAGGCAGCTGATTCTGCTACTGCTGGCTACATAAGTAAGCCTTCCAAGCCTTATTGATAGGGAGGGGGAGTGTCAGCACTTCTCAGATCTGGAACTGGCTCTTATTGCCACTTTCTCTTAGTTGCCCTTGTGCTGGGGTGCATGGGAGGTGGAGTGCTCTTTTCTGTCTCTGCTATCATCATTCATCTGCTGGTTGTGGAGGGCTTCCAGGCTGATCTTTAAAAAAAAAAAAAAAGCTGCAGGATCAGATGTGCTTGGGCTTATATTTAAATCTCTATAAGTGTTAAGTGGGTATTATTTCCAATTATTCTCTCTCCCCATGGTTAATGGATGGGGGAGAGAGACTGTAGTTTTGACCTGTGTTTGGAGGAGCTTGTGCTGAAATAATGTAAAAATAGATATATTTACCTGTGGTCATAGATTGGTGGGATGATGAATAAGATGAAACTTTAATTACAAAATAATGGAAAATTGATCCCGTTTTACTTGCGTTAGAAGCATTCAAGAAAATATGTGCAGTTTTCACAGTTGAATACATTGGGCATGCCTTGTCTGAGTGAAATCATGGTTACTGGCATCTACAGGCACAGTCCTTGCCATAATGTACCCCATAGCCCATTGGTCTGTCTACTCCAGGGGCCCTCAAACTTTGTCAATAGGGGGCCAGTTGAAAGGTGGCGGTTGTGGGTGCGGGCCTGGCTGCCCCCTGGCTTCCATAATTAAAAATAGATTTTAAAAGTTACATTTTTGTTACCTTCAGTCCTTTCTTCGTCTTCGTCTCTCTCTTCTGCCCACCTCTCTTCTGTTTCCTGCTCCATATTCCCACTCTGTATATGCATGCAATGTGGGGGGGGGGGGGGCCGGGGCACGTGCAGTTGAGCTGTTGTAATTTGGCCATGCACTGGATCTTTTTCTGCTCAGTTTTAAAGAATGCCTGCCCTGGCTCAGAGCCTCATATCATTTTCTCTGAGTGAGTCCAAAACCTCTGAGGTGGGCCAGATAAATGGGCATGGCAGGCCAGATCCAGCCCACGGGCCGTAGTTTGAGGACCCATGGTCTACTTCATCTTCCTGTAAAGGACTGGAAACTGTGTAACTTTTCCTTGGATGACTTTTCTCTGGCACTCAACTACATTGATTGCAAAGTTGTGTGTTAGTTTGTCACTTAATGATGAATGATTGTACAGCAGGTTTCAAACGCCTAAAAATGTCTTTTAAAACCAAAAATTTCCCTGAGGTACATACCCTTAGGGTTCACCTAGTATGCATGCCAAGCTTTAGATGTCATGGTTCTACAGTTTTGGCGCTATGGCACAAGCAGACATTCTTTTTTATTATAGAAACTACTCCATAAATGCATATTGGCCAGCTTCATGGACCAAAAAACCAAAAACAATTCCCCCCACCCAATATTCCTGCCCTCCAAGGAGTTTGTGGTTTAAATCCTTATAGTATCTGCCTGCTTGTTCCTCTTTGCAGACGTAGGGATTGCACCTGCTTCTTCTAAAATTCAGCATTTCAAACTAGAAAACTCAGACCCTGAATGTGAGCAAGAGGAAGAGGGGGACTGGAATGTATTACTGAAATGTCAAGGTTAACGAACCATGAGATTAGGCAAGCATTTGGTGAGAATCAGACTGCCTCTGCTTCAGGGGGAGACACTGTAGAACAAGGATGATCAGAGGGGCAGCGGCGTGAGTTCATCAGCCCTGTTGTCAGCCCCTTACCATTAAGTAAAGTGTAATATTCCCGCTGTCCTCCCTGAAGGTGGAGCCAGCCCTTTTGGAGCAGAAAGGAAGAAGGGGGTGAAGTTTGAAATCGGCTTATAGGGACAAGAGCTGACTCCACAAATTAGAGGGATCATTACCTTGATACATGCTACTTATATTACTCTGTATTGCTATCCTGACTCAGTAAAGGACTGGATTTAGAAGCCTTTTGACTTAGTCTGCTAGAAAGAGAGCAACATGAGCATCTTTGAATCATCTTAGAAGGATTCTAAGTTGAGAACAATATAGTTCTTATTAATGTGTATCAGTTTATAGTTGGAATTGTTCATGTTGTCAGTTGCTACTTGATGTCTGCATATTGTGGTATCCAAGGCAGCATGCTTCTGAGGAGCAGTAACTGGAAACAAAATCAGGTGCATGTTATTACACTCATGCCTTGGACAACTGGTTGTCCTCTGTGGGAACAGAATGCTGGAATAGACAAACCTTTGCTCTGATTGAGAATATCTCTTCTTATACTTTTATTATACTTGCTAGAAATGAACTTGATAGTCTGGTTCTTGAGCAGTTTGCCCATACTCAAGCTGACTTTCTGAACATTTGAGAGTTCTGCGAGCATGCAGAAAAGGTATAAGAGCCAGTGTGGTATAGTGGTTAAGAGCCTGGGACTGGTACTCAGGCATTCTGGGTTCTAGTTGCCACATGGAGCTCACTGGGTGACTTTGGACCAGTTACAGTCTCTCAGCCCAGCCTGCCTCACAGACTTCTTATGATAAGGATAAGATTGAGAAGAGGAGGAGAATTTTATAAGCCACCTTGCATTCCTAGGAAGGGAAAAAGTGGGATATAAATAAAATGAAATAAATAAAAATACTATTGCAATTCTTTCAAAATTCTTGCAAATTTTGAAAGAATACCACACATCCCAGAAGGGATGATCTATATTATGTTGAAAGGAAAAAGAAAATATTGGGTGGAGGTGGAATTGTTTGAACTCATGAGAACATACCATATTTCTTTATGTAATAGTTTATATCCCATGTTTCTTCCATCATGGAATTCAGAGCTGCATGCATGTGATTTCCCAAGCAGTTTCACATTTATGCTTTAATCATATCCACACTTCTTTTGCTTAAGCCAGGTGGTGGCAGCAGTCTGTTCTGTGTGTGGTGGGGAACTAAAACTAGCCAGGTGCATCTTGTGAAGTTTAAAAACATATCTTCATGGGAAGTATGGGAGATCTCAGAAGAAAAGTAAAGCAGGAAGTTCCTAATTTCAAAAGGACTCTTCCTCGTCCCTATAAAGTGTGCCATTAAGTACCATGAGGAAAGTTTTCTAACAATGCAAAGCAAGAATACAGGCCAAAGAGTGCTGCAAAACTCCTTTTAGAGGATGGAAGATAAATTGTGCTATGTTAATGCAGGTTTTGTTGTTTACAAAGGTAAGATGTCTTGAATACTGCACAGAGCCTTTAGGAAGAAGACACATTTTACCTTCTTTCAGAATTCCTATCATTGAAGGACCAGGGTCAGGATAGATAGGTTTGGACCTTCCTACAACTGGAGCCAGTGTGATGGTGTTAAATTGGTGGACTTCATTTTGGGCAGTCTGGGTTCGAATTGTCACTTGTGGAGCTAGCTTAGTTGATCTCTCTCTTTCGCTTGTTCACTCACTTGCTCAGCCTTTCCTACCTTAATGAGTTGTAGTGAGGCTCAGAGGGGGAGAACCATGTATGCTACTCTAAGTTCCTTACAGAAAAGCTGGAATGTATGAGGGAATGAATGAAGAAGCTGTTCTCTACACACAGCACTTTGATTGCACTTCATGAAAGAGAAAAACAGCCATTCAGTTACGTGAGAAAAAGTGAAGCATTGCACTCAATAATATGTACATGTGGTGTTGATGTCTGTGTTGTGCTCTTAAGAGCCTGACAGCAATATTTAGTTGGTGGTACTTTTACTTGCATAGAGATAA